ACATTTCAGACAGTGTTCTGCTGAGGAACATACCTGAAAAAACCTGCTACAATGTACAGAATCTTGTTCATACATGCTTGTTTAAAAAAGACAATAAGGTGGCAGTAAGATTACTGTGTTGTGAAAGTGCAGACACTCATCAAGGTTACGATGTTGATTTGGATCTCAAACAAATGTTGCTTTTGTATTTGAGTTCCTGTACAAGTACTATTATAGGTGCTTATGAAGACATTGTACAAACTGTTGAACATTTTGCTTGTTGAAAAAAAAAATACATTAAAAATATTTAGAGTAATATGCTGCCTCATTTTACACTCAGAAAAAAATAATTCATTTTCATGCAGTTTTGTGTTAAGCTCACATTGTGACTCAGTGGGTATTGCATCAGTTAATAAATAGTAAATACATGTGCAGAAATACAAATCATATTGACTTGTGATGAAAACAGATTTTTAATTTTTATTGTTCCATTTATGATAATTGACTATAGAGTGTACTTAACATGTCAAAGTGATAAATAAAACACACAAGCCCATAAAGACAAGGAACCTCTGCTCAGTGTCCCTCAGTCTGTCTGCATCAGAGTTGAAGGCACAAGAAAATAGATTCCTTAACATACTGGATCATTATATGCAAACTGCATCCTTTTCTTCACTACATCATTGATTGTGAGGTTCCAACAAAAAGAACTACCTGTGATAATAAGGCCAGCATGTTAAATATGTGTTTAGATTCAGTTTGAGGGTCATAAAGATACTGTTCATAAAAACATTTCTTTTTCTGTTTCGTATTTCAGGATGTCTGAGCTTCCCTCTGTTTCCCGTATGTCCTTCATGTTGCTTTGCGTTCTGGGTATGACCTTGGTGACATCTGGCTTCCCTCAGCCCCGACTACCTCTCAGGTGGTTCTTCACTAAATCTTATTCAGGTTATTGGTGTGCAGATTCTGAATGACTAATTCCTGAACAAATAGATCAACCAGTTGGATCATTTTCAGACCACTGGAGTGAATCCTCCTCCTGTGTTTGATTTTTTTAAATATTTCTATATAATGTCATTAATATAATACATTTTTAAAACTTTTCATATATATCATAGCCCCAGTTCAGAAAAAAATCCGCTCAGTGTTATTTGATTCCAGACGTCCTGAGGATTCAGAGGAACATAAACGAGATGACTTGGATGTCCTCTTCCCGTCTATCTCGCTCCGTGATTGGAGCATCCACATGATGTCAGCTCCCAGCCTCAGAGCAGCAGCCGACAGCAAGGCCGGACTGATGAGGGAGGCGTGGCTCTTTGACCCGGAGAGGGCCGAGGAACGGTAACCGTTCAACTGGGAAAATATTATCATGAAGTTCTGATCAAATGAAACTGAATATTTAACAGCAATGGAAAAGTGAGGATAAAAATAAACCACACCACAATCATTGTTCTTATATCCAGAAGTACCAATTTCTTGCTAAGAACAAGACTTGTTTTAATTTACCTAATTAAATATTCTGCGTATAAAGTGAAGCAAAGGTTTGGCACTAAGATTAAAACAAAAACAAAGAAAAACAAACACCTACCCACACTTTTAAAGCTACCTTCTTAACATGTTGTTTCTCTATATTTTATCTGCACACAAACAAAAGGCACCATGCTGTAGCACTGTCATCACTGTGAAGTTAATGCCAGACTCCAGCATGTCAGCCTGTAAAACTACAACCTACATTTGTCCTGTTGCCCAAAAAACTAAAACCACAACCATCTGCGAAGCTCAAGACCACTGGAGCTGCAACATTTATTAAATATGTACTGAGAAATCTGAATCTATGTTCCTCTGAGACCATTGGCACTGTTTGCAAGTTTACAAGAATCTTATGTTTTTCATTTAAATTAATTTAGGATCAGAAAAGGGTGCAACTGTTAGCCATCATATTAAGAACAAAAGCTAAGAATATGAAAAAAGATAGATTTTCTTCTAGTTTATTCCTCTAATTTTCTCACTACTCATCTGATTTGTTTTCTGACCAGTTGTGAGTCTTGACTGAGATTTCAGGAAGCACATGTAAAATGTAACTTTGTGTCAAATATAGTTAAACTTGCTAAATATGAGACATGAAGCTACATCCAGGTGATGCTTAGCTTGGCACAAAGATGAAAGTGCTCATAAAGCACAATAATTACTAAGTTAGATTTCTTCTCTTTAATCCATTAAAAGAAAAAAAACTGTTGTCTGTTTCCCATCTTTAGTGCTAAATTAAGCAAACCAGCTGCTGGTTGTGGAGCCAGATTTAGTGTCACACTGATACTCTCATCTGAATTTCTCCGAAAATAAACATTTAAAAAGGGGCATTTTCCAAAATGTCAATAAAAACTATTTCTTTAAGCTGCATTGTCTGAGAAAACCAGAGCTATTAGGTGACACTGGAAGCAATAACAAAACCAGTCTGTTTAGTCATGAATTTTGACTGATCAGATTCAGCTGAAGTGGAGAACGGTCATCAGTGGAATTCACTAAAGTACTGTATTTCAGCACATTTGAGGTACTTGTTCTTTACTTGAGTCTTTTTTTTTTTTTTGTTTCATGGTACTTTCTTCTTAAAGTCCACTACATGTCAGAGGAAACCATTGTACTTTTAACTCTACTATATTTATCAGCTTTAGCTCCATTAGATATAAAGATTTTTGTACATAATACATATGTAGAGCTCATGTGTTTTGTTAGTAATCAAACTTCCTAACAGTTTATGCAAGTGGAGTTGAAAGGCTAAGATACTAATTACTGCAAAAATGTAACTGTATGCTTAACGATTTCGAGGTTTGGACTGTGGGTGATACAAGTAATTTTAATCAAATAAGATAAAATAGTATAACATCCACAGGAAACACTTCCCTGTATTGACTTTGTTAAAAGCAAATGCAGGAGCTTTACTTGTAACAAAGTATTTTTATAGTGTGTACTTTATGCTTTTGATGAAGTTTAGAAGCTGAATACTTTTACCACCCAATGACGTCAGTCACATACATATGAGTGTTGGATCCTGTAGTACCTGGCTTGTGTTCTGTCTCTGTCTGAATATGTGCAGCGTAAAGGGGGCCTGGCCTGCCGAGTGGTCGCCTCAAGGAGCCGGGCTGGTGAAGAGGAACATGGTGGTGGCTGATGATGTTGCCTTCAGAGAGAAGAGTAAGCTCCTCACCTCCATGGAGAGACAGAAGTGGCTCAACTCCTACATGCAGAAGCTCCTGGTGGTTAATTCTTCGTGATAGTTCAGTTGTTAAAACGTTTTCCATAAATTCAGACCAACTCTCTGACCCCTATGCTGGCAAAACAAACAAACAAACAAAAAAAACCCTTTTAAATCTCTGAGGGAGTTTCCAGCCACTCAACATGAAAACAGAAGACAGTATTGACATTAAAATCCTACCAACTGTATTTATATTTCGTGTACAGTTTTACTCCTTCACTGTTCAAAACTCTAATTTATTGATTTTCCACAAAATGTTAGATGAACAATACACAGATTTTGTTGAAATCTGATATAAGTTCATTAAGTCCTACAGAAGATAATTTGGTGTTATTTCATTTGATGAGTTAATAAAGATGTAAATGATGTTTTTTGACGTCTGTAGCTCGTGTTTGACTTCATGCAATAGGACTGACATCACAACAATGGGTTTTATGGTGTTATTCTAACAAACCAAACAACTAGGCATGTTTGTACGTGTTTGTATTCTCTGAATATTAGAAAAAACAACAACACTACATTAGTTGCTCAACATGTTGGAGGACATACAGTACCGGTGAGATTGTCGTCACATGGAGGTTACCAGACTGGTCCCATTCTGCCTGTACGGCGCCCTGTGTGCACCAATTACATCTAGAAACCAGATGAAATTAATTCTAAAAAAACATTTCTCTAAATTGTACAGTTCATTTGTCAAAAAAACTCAGGACACTCTGAGGACACATGCATATTAATTTAATATTTCTTTATTTCTTTCTTGAGCTTTTACAAGATTGAATTTCCCTTCTGGGATAAATAAAGTATTTTTCATTTCATTTTTCATTTAATCTACAATGTAGGAATATGAATTTATTGTTACATTTATTGAAAGTCATGTTAGAAAATGTAGGAATGCTTTTTCTTAATTACAATGAATGATTTCATTTAATGTTCTTTGTTTTTCCTAATTTGTCTTGATTGTATGTGTTGTTTGTTTCTTGGATCTGTGAAGCACTCTGACACTTTGTGCTACACTAAGCTTATGTTCTAAGTTTATTTCCTTGAGAATGTGAAAACATGCAACAAAATATTTGGTTTCAACTGTCATGTGAATTGTTGGCAAATGAAAAAAAAAAAAAAAAGAAATCCATGTTGAATCTCAAAGCTAAAGACTTGAATATTATAACATGTCCCCCACAAAATAAACACATATCTCATAGACAGGTCCTTTTAAATTTGACAGGAGCATCTCATTCACTACTGCAAAATGTCATCTTCCAAATATAAACTAAACATCTAAGGTGGTATCAACACCAGTAAATCCTGCCTGCCAATCATCTCCTGCAGCTGTGTCCTGTTGGCCTGTCGCTGCCTGTCCCTCCTCTCCAGCAGCAGAGTCTCAGCATGAAGCAGCATCTCTGCAGCCTGAGACACCGGCAGCTCACATGGAGCCTCAGCACCACTGTGGACGTCCTCAGCAGTGCAGCTTCTGTGTCTGACTGGCTTCTCAACTCTGAGTCTGGCTCGGCAGACCTGACTGAGGGCGGGCACAGAGGGAAGAGAGGAGATAAAAGGAGGGAGGAAGGAGGCATCCAGTCCAGCCTGCCCCTTCTCTCCTCCTTCTCTGTCCTTAACATCCCCTCTGCCTCTCCTCTGGCCTTCCTGGGAAGACAGAGAATAGAGGATAGATGCAACTAAGATAGAAATATACAACACAAGTACATAAACAAGAATAACACTACAAAGTAGTGAAAATGTTCATATTTGTAATGTTATTACACTATGCCATAAACTGGGATTAAGTGCAAACTAAGTGCCACCTAATAAAAAGCAGATAATCAGATGGTGCTGTGTAAAGCAGGCAGGCTTTCATGCTGAATGCAAAAACACACTAAAGAATAATAGATATCAGAGGCATTTTCTTTGCTATTTATGGGCCTAAAACACAGAACAAATCATTAAAAAATGTTATTAAGTAATTTTGAGATTATTTTCCAAAAAACCTTTTGGACAAATGAAATGTTCCATGGTAGAAGTATGTCTGATAACAACAGCTAGATGCAGTGTGCAGCTACAGAGCACACTTAGCAGCTTCTGTACTGTCGTGTCTGTGCAGAGGCAAAAAACTAAGTTAATTAATCAGTGAGCTGAGGGGTGATGAAAGGTGGATGTTTCAACCTCAGAGTCAGGCTAACAGTTTGTCCCTGTTTCCGGGCCTTATGCTAAGCTTGGCTAACCACATCCCTACATGAGCAACACACTCACATGAGTCATTCTGGGAGAAAAGTCAAAAAGTATGTTTTCCTAAATGTGTACCTATTTTTTTTTTTTTTTTTAATTGCCTGAATACCTGTTTTCACAGGGTTCATTTATGTTTGACTGGCTATGTTAATCTCTAAAGTCTGCTGAAAACACTAACCTGTGTTCTAATGGATGTGTGTGTGTTGCACTCCTGTGCAGTAGGAAGTCTCAACAACATGTCCTCCAGCTTCTCCAGCCCCCAGGTTCCGTGGTGACACACTCTCAGATTCCCACTGGGTGTATGTGTAGGCCTTTTGACAACAGGACCAGTCAGATGGCAGTCCACCACACTGTCCTACATACAAACACACACACACACACACACACACACTTAGCATCACATTTTCTGGCTTACATGGCTGCTGGCATCTTGGACAGCACGGAGGAGAGAATTTAGCAAATCCTGTAGGTTGGGAGCAATACTTGTATAACTGGATCACAGCAAAACTGCGTCAGCGTCGCAGTTCAGTCACAAATACACTCTGGTGTGAAACTGCCTGTTTCCTATTTGAACATTCACGGTTTGTTTATTGATGGATAATTAGCCACATTAGGAAATGTGCTTTTAGCTTTTGAGAATCAAGAATTGTGCAGGTGCTTTTCTGTAGTGTTGTTACAATAAAACGCACCATCCACGTCCAGAAGACTTTCTCCACCTGTGTCCAGTTCAGATATGCTTCTAGAAGGTCACAGAGCTGCCGGATGCAACTGCAGTCCTTTATAAAGACACACAAAGATGTATTTTTGAACATAGCTTGAAGTATATTGACAGTTGGCATATTTACTCATAGAAGTGAAATTTTAATTTAATTAGATTATAAATTGGTCTAACAAGAATATAGACTGGCAGCTAACAACAACAGAGAACAACTTGACCGTCACAGGAACAAAATCAAAAGTACAACTGATATTACTCATCAGGTAAGCAAAGCATAACGTATATGAACGGTTTAAAATCAGATTCTTAAATTAAGAAAGTCTTTGAGCCAAAATGAACTTTCAAGTGACATCTTATGTTTTGGCAAAGAACAACTATATTCACGTGACTGAGAATTAAGCATAAAATGTACAATAAAGTGCACTGAAACCTTTTGTAGCAATTAACAGAACCAACTTTAGTATCTGGACAGAGAAGAAGCACCAAAATGTGTTTCACACTAAGTAATAAGAGAAGGGTTTCCAAGTGAGAAACCAGCCCAAAATTAGATTTCCAACCCTTACTTATCCTCATCACCATTTGAAGTCTTCACTGACAGCTGCTGAGTCACTCAGCTGTAATTCTATCGTGTGGAAGAAGGTCCACTGCACTGTGGGATGCAGGGAAATCAGATAACTGTGTAGTGAAAGTAATCAGATTCACTTTTACTGCACAGTGCACAGTGTTTATCCTCCACCTTCTTGAGTGGTCAGAAAAATAATAATAATAGCAACAATAATAATAATAATATCCACTATTTAGTGCCCTTGCATATTCCAAAACTAAATGAAAAAGAAGTGTCCATAACATGCACACCCTTATTGGCAAACAATCCCACAATGCAATGCTCTGTATTTATTTTATAGATCCAAAACTGTTCATCTAAATCACAGTTAAGAACTCAGTCTGTTTTTTCTAATTATTCCAAATTATGGTTTCAACCCAAGTACTGCACTTGAGGTATTTGGACTTTATTAGAGTCTTTTCTTTTCATGGCACTTTATACTTGTACTGATCAGTACTTTTTACTGCACTGTTTATTTGACAGGTTTAGTTACGACTTTACAAATTGAGACTATTGCGCCCAAGGCATATGAAGAGTTTATAAAACGTGATGTTTTGTTAGTTATTAAATTATCGAAAAGATAATACAAGTACAGCTGAAACAATCAGTCAAATAGTGAATTGACAGAAAATTAACTGGCAACTGTTCTACAAACCATTTAAGTCATTTTTCATGGGAAAACGTTTCCATCATCATTTTAATCATTTAATAAATTATTAACATTCACTTTTTAAAATACATTTTACAAACCATTTAATCAATTGACTAATGGAGAGAATAATCAGCAGACTAATCTCTGTTGAAAATTATGTGCAGTCCAATAATAAATAGTTCAAAATTAACTTCAACTAAAACAGTAAAGTCCTGCCTTTACATCAATGCTTGAGTTATGATGATATAAAACTGTATAGAGTCACATATGACATTTTTTTGAGTACTTTACTGTGAGTACATTTTCCTAATTATACTTACATACTTTTCCTAAAGTAACATTTAAAATGGAGGACTTTTACATGTAACAAAGTAGTTATCATGTCATATTAGTACTTTTACTTCAGTAAACAACAGGAATCCTTCCTCCAACACTGTTCCAGACTAAAGCAAAACCCTGCAGGTTTGCAGTCTTCACTGTATAATCTTCAAAGTAATGTACGGCTGCAACACACAGCAAGCTAGTTGAGCCAGCTGTAAGGTAACTAATAGAGAAAATGATTTTGCATCATGCATTTTTAATCCAATATTTGTTGTGGATGTGATGTGTCATGCGGCCATTATGACCTGCTCACAGAAACAGACATGTTCAGCTATGAAAACTATGAAGAACGCTGTGTGAGCCAACGAAAGCAGACTTTTAACATTGACAGCAATAGGTCAACAGTGGAGGAAAAAGGAGCCTAATACCAGTAATTCATGTTTGCAACAACACAAACTTACCTCTTTTAACACTGTAGAGCTTTGGCTAGAAGACGAAGATGCAGTGGAGGAGAGGTTGGCAGAAAAAACCTGAGGATACATTGAAATTCTTAGATAGCAAAATATGACTGTTGTTTAATAAATAAGTCAATGAACCCTTTAAACATTAGGCTGTTTTTGCAAAGAGGAAGTCACACTGACTGGGAAAGAAATACAAGTTGTCACAGTAGCCAGAGGGATTCAACAATATGACAGTGCCAATGTGCAGATGCTGTCTGATGGCGTGGTTTGAATTATTAAAGGTCAAAAAGTCTTGCGTGCAATTGGCCAATGTCATTTTTAGTCATCCTCGAGGTTCTTATTTGTTAACCTCTGAGCAGTGTTTTTTCTTGGCAGATAAGAAAAACAGCTTGTGGAAATAGAAAAGAGAGGATTTCCTCACAGCATGAAGCAGTCGGGTTCGCTCTTGTAGCATGGACAGCAGGATCCTTCCCTGGTGTCTCAGACACCCTGTGAGCCACTGAAGTCTCCTCAGGGAGGCAGAGTCAGACTGAAACTCATTGGAAAGGTGAAGGTTCACCTGATAGACAGAGTGAGAGAGATGACAGACAAACTAAGACACGAAATACATATAGAATATATAGAAATATAAACATATAAATAAATATATACACAAATATCTACAGTAAATACAGAGTTAGATTCACAAGCATTCTATTGTAGTGTTAACAGGTTACCAGTAATACTTACAGGTACAGATGTGAGCAGTGTTTTGTCCAGTTGCTGTACTCGCTGTGTCAGCAGTTTCTCCAGTGTTCCACTCGCGAGCAGCCAGCCGAGCGCCAGGAGCAGATCTCTGCTGGACAAACTCCTTCCCCCCTCTGCATCTCCTCCCTCGCTCTCATACATCCAGTCAGCATGGTAGCCAGTCTGCCACAGGCCTGCAGCCACCCACTTTCTGTGCTCTGAGGCTAGACACAAAGAAAACACATCTTTTTTTTTTTTCCCTCCAGGAAACGTCAGTGAATATAATTGTGGATCCATAACAATACAGGAAGAGAGGAATGACAGCACAGCATGAAAAAAAAAATCTGAAGGCCTGTCATAATGAGGTTATGTTGTGTAAACAAGGCATGTTCAAACCCTTAGAACATTTAATATGAAATTCTGTTTAGTTTCACACGGTTTACACACATATAAATGAATTACAGGTGAAGTGAATATAAAATGCAGGTAGTATAAATTAGAGACATCTTATCCTTTATATTGGATAATGAATAATGTGCATTTGTAACTTTTTAGGTCCTTTTCCTTACAGTTATTTTAAATTCATACTTTTATGCTGATGTTGTTTTTTTCATTTGATGTCAGAATCAAGTAGCTTCAGTAAGGAACTGGGACAAGCAAACACTGAACAAAACGTCTGAAGTGAAAATCAGTAAAGTCCAGGACAATCAGCGTAAACAGCCTCCACTGACCTCCTCCGAGCTGTGAGCCGGCTTCAGACGGAACAACACCAGCTTTCTGAAGGATGCTGGAAAGAAGCTGCCAAAACTGGTCCTCCTGGAAAACATCAAGCAGAAAGACAACTATACATTTCAATATGAACAACAAACTGGGTCTGTTTTGGAGACATTTTTGTGTTAACAGGACAATTTCCTGTATCTACATGTCTGCTCCTGCAATAAAATAAGACCAAACAGTCCTGGTCAGTTGCTATCATTTTTACTCGTACAAGTACAGTACTTAAAAAATATATACTTAGCTCCTCCAGAACCCACCTCGGCTCCACCACCGAACTTCGCCCGTCTGAAGCTCTCCGGTGCGGGCACAGAGTCCACGCCGACTGCCGCTAGAAGTCTGCACAGAGCTCCAATCACCTGCTTCACCTCCACACTCACAGACGCTTTAGTCCGCTGCATTTCAGCCACATTTAGTTCAGCAGAGATAACTTCACTTCTTCTATAAACACATTTATGCCGCTTTGAGCTGTTGGTATTTCGCGGCGAAGACAATGACTTCCGGGTATGTTGCCGTTGCCAAGGAAAGCAAATGGACAAAATATTGATTGACATGTGTACGAACCAATGAAAACGAGACTACGAGGGCGGGATTTATTTTTCAGGGGCTTCTTAAAGCGAACTCCAAATTTAAGGAGTTATGAGAATGCGCTTCACATCGTACGTAAAAACACCAACATTTATAAAATACTCAATTTAACATAAAAGTCCTGCACTCAAAATCGTATTTGCTTCTATTTGTGTAATTGTAAATCAGTAGATTTTCCATCAAGTACAAAAAGCACAAGTATACATGTTTCCTTTGAGTGTTACAGTCAGCCAAAGTTAAGTCAATAACTTCATTTACTTACGTACTTATTTACTTGCAGTATTAAATATAACATCATGACGCTAATAATTGTCATGCATTAATGAACTGGATCTCATTTTGAAGTGTTTTCTACAGGGCTAGTGATTATTTTTGTTATACACGACTCTACTGTTTATTTTGTCAATTAGTGAATGAATTGTTTTGTTTGTAAAATGTCATTGAGGGATAATTTATTCATGCACTGTTCAATTTTGAGGTTTTGGACTATTTTACTACTACAACATGTCTTTCAGACAAAAAAAAATACACTAGCTGTTTATTTTACTACATTTTGACCTAGAACATTTTATTCATCAAAACATTTNGAGAGAGAGAGAGAGAGAGAGAGAGAGAGAGAGAGAGAGAGATGAGAGAGGCCTATGTGCCTGTAAGCCCCAACAGGCTTATGAATCATACTAAATAAGGGGACTTGTTGACCTTCAAAGACCTAACAAGAAGAGGAAGAAAAGAGTGAGGGTGATTCTTAACATATACAGTGGACCACAAGCAAAGATCCTTGTATTTTGATGAAAAAATGTCTATGAATTTCAGAATCTCTCAGTATTTGTTTGCTTCTTTTTACTTTTAATGACAGCAGCACTGCACTAGTGTGTTTAAACTACAGAAGCCATGTTTTCCCAGCAAGATGTCCAGAGAGCCTTTTGTGATCTTCTTCAATTTACATTATTACATATTTTCAATGTGGCCTCAGACCTTTTGGACCCCACTTGTGTTTTTGTCAGCCTAAATATGAATTTAACTTGCTTTGCACAGAGAGTGGGTCTCCTTCGAAATAAAGGTTTGTCTTCTAAAAACAGCCCAGCTTGCTTATCTGACATTCCAGCAGCAGGATGATATTGTTTGTCAGTACCCTTAAACTGTTAAATATCTGTTAATCAAGCAAACGCCATAGTTAAAGCCTGTATATGAAGAAACCTGACAATATTTGGCTTGTAAGCTGACTGTCAATTTAATGGAGGAGCTTTGTGTACAGAGTGTGTATTTACTAATCATCATAATCATGTGTTTTTTCCTATACTCAAACTTGCTGTCTTTAGACATAATATTTGTAGCTTTGAGGAAATAAAATCCACAACGCTGACCAGCACGTCCCTCAGTGGCCGTCAGTGGAAGAAGTGAGATCAGCCTGTCCAGGTGGTGTACAGTATCACAGACCGAACACGCAGCTCACACCACGCTCGCTGCAACTTTAGAGCCGATGTCTGTGACACACACATTGTTGTGTACAGCGTCAGCATGTTTGGTGACGTCCTTGTCCAAACAAACTAAACAAGAGATCTTATCAATGAACGGCAGACTCTTAGAATGCATGTATTTGTCAGAACATCTGAGGCACATCCAGTCAGCAATAACGCTAAATAATCCCCTCTTCTTTCTCCACGTTTGGACAGACTCTTAATTAAATGACCAGGAAGTGGATTTAGATAGAGTCACTGAGGAGCTCCAAAACAGAGAACGTGACTTGAAACTGAAGCCTGGGGTTTAGGTTTACAGTACACACCGGCCATTTCCTGCTCTGACGCTTCGGTCCTATATATCAGCAGATCAAATAGCTGCCCTCAGTGGTGAATATTTTACAGGAGGTTTTATCTGAGTTCAAGGTTGATCAGGTAAGGTGAAGGAAATGCGTCAAAGTCAAGAAGCACAAATAACATTAAGGAATAGTTCAATATTTGGGATTTACNAATAGTTTCATGGTGATTTATGACTTAAAAATGTTCCCTATTCACCTATAACTCTGCTTGAAAACCAAAATAAGAGTGACACTTTAATTATTACTGTTTTGTATTATTAAAAATATAAACAGTGTTATGCCAAAAACAGCAAATCTTCATATCCGGAGAAGCTGGAAACATGAAACATCCGTAATTTAACATGACATGAGCTTCAATGCTACCTACTAATTTTCTATCAGATGACTAATCATTCTAACTTTATTTGTATTTCCTGCTTGGTAGTTTAATTTATGAAGTTCAAATGATTTGTGTGCAAAAGTCTCCTTTTTTTAGAGTTAGTGACTAAAGCTATTGGGCAAATGTAGCCAAGTGAGAAGTATAATACTGATCTAGTGGAGTAGATGTAGAAGTGCCATGAAATCTAAATGCTCAGGAGAAGTACAAGTACCTCAACATTGTGCTGTAGTACAGTACTTAAACATACCCAGGTACATTCCACGACTGCTTTTAGTTATTTTTAAAGCATTTCATTCATTCATTATCTTACACTGTCAACTTAAACTGACCAATTTATTCTTTTAGTGGAAAGTACCTCCTGGAGAAATGTGTCAATCACATGACCTTGAGTAACTCTTCAGTATGCACTTCTAAAAATAGTCAAAGCTATATGTCTAATTGATCAATCATTATACACTGTACCTTTGTATGCTACCGAGTGAGAATTATTGACAAGTTAAGGTTTAACTGAGAAGATCAAATGTTATAATAATAATAGCATTTATTCAAAATATCAAAATCATTTAAAATCATAAACATCCAGCAATTACAAGCTCAAACATGCCAAAAAATAATTTAAAACATGAAAAATCAATTTACACAGAAACAGTATAATGCAGGTATGCAACTGCATTTACCATCGTATCACATCTTTCAGAACCAGAACATCGTGGAAACCTTAGCTCCAAAACCGAACTGAAAAGAAAAGTTTTTGTTCCTTTATATTACTTTTTTTTCTAATCAAGTTTAGACATACTACCTCAGTGACCTACTGACAGAAAGATCTTAAACAGCACAGTAACAAACAGCTATGGACGTATTTTGGTCATACAAGTTTTGCCCCAATGTATCTAGAGATGGTCCCTTTACGCCCCATGAGAAAGATAGCTGCATTGTAATGTGACCTCCTGTGTTAAAGCTACTACTGCTTTCTATCTAAGAATGATAATGTAGCATAATGTAGCTAATCTGTATTGAGATCTGTCTCAATGGTAATGTTAAGGTATTTACAGCCAAGTTCTATTTGGCTAAAGAGCACGTCGAGCAGTATGGAGATAATAGTACGACCTTGTCAGCATGTGGTCCACACAAAGGTGCCTGCTCACTGGTCTGTGTGCTACACTGTGCTTTAGTTCTTGTAGGAAAAACACAGTTATTGCCTATTTTCAGCCAACAAATGGTGCTGTACCACCACAGTCAATTTTCAGGCATACAGAACCGTTCATATTAGCTTCAATATCCTTCACAGTGTGACAGTAAAAAATCCTAATGCTGTAAACAGAATTAGGGAAATGTGCTCATTTGGTTTGACCTCATCAAATCTTTATCCTGGTCCCAAACCCACAAGGCCTTTAGTGTCAATTTAAAAGACTTTTTTTCAACTCCAAAATGTACGCATTATTATTTTGTGCTTGTTGATTTACAACAAAGTCTGTCATAAAAATCAATTCTCTATAAAGAAAAGCACCATGACAAACCATACAAAACTTAAAAAAGGGAAGACTCTTCAGGAAAGAGGTTGGAATTTTTCAGACATTCACGCTTCTCAGCTCTCTCCCTCTCCCTCATCCTCTTCCTGTTTGATGACTGGGGTTCCTGAAAACAACAGGAAAAAGGATCACTAGTTACCTCTGCAAGCAACAATTTATTACTATTACATACCTTATAACCTACAATGTCAACACCTGCCATTTTTTCCCCGCATGTCATGTCACAGACCTTCAAGCAAATTTGGTAACATTCACAGGCCTGTGATCTCCTTTTTCGTTTTTCAGGGGGTTTATTAGAAGGAACCATGCAATTTGTTCCAAAGTATTTACCAATGTCTAGTCTCACCTACCGGATGTAGATTGTGGGTATAAACCTGCCAGTGGGTGCACATTTCATGCACCTTTAAAAATCTATTTACTAATGGAAACAACAACAACCTCTAAGCAGCAACTTACCACTCTGAAAAGTTCAAGTTCTGCCAAAGGTTAGGATCGCGCAGTAATGCTTTAGCCATTTAAATCACAGTTTTGCTTCCTGTGTGCAAATGTTCAACTGAAACAATAAAGCCCAGATTACTATTTTGAGGGAACACCTACGCAACATCCCATTAGCCCTGCCCATTACAACTGTGACTGGTTTAGAGAAATAAAAAGCAAGTCAGAGCATTTTTTTTCAACCTATAGCAGAATGATGATAAAGTGTAATGCAGAATCATCTGGCTGACCGAGACTCAACACTGTCTGTATTGGCAAGGGGTCACAGTAGCATTCGGAAAATAGAAGACAAGCTACGTATTATATCACATAAATGGCTGTTGAAATACCCTTACCATCTAGTTTCTTCAGATTAGGAAGTCTTTTACAGGCTTCATCCATCCAGGTGCCCTCAGCTGAATGCTTCTCCTCCAGAGGGTTTCCAACAAACACAAGATCAACGAGGCACGGCAGCTCACCCAGCCTCACAAACTCCGCTACACAGTACAGAAAAGACATCATATATACACTGACAGTCAGATTGTGGATTTCAACGAACAAGTGACACATTAACTTCAAAATAAGAATAAACACCTGATCAAAAGAGACCACAACTGCAAAGTTAGAAACCTTTAGTGATGTAAAATTTAGCAATGTGTTTTTTAATATTTAACGTGTTGCATATGTCAACAAATGTAACTTACACCAATCTTTGACCAGGTTGTTGGACATGTAGAGGACTTTCAGGTTCTTCATGCACTTGATTCCCTTCAGTTTCTCGATCAAATTATAAGAGATCCACAACTCTTCTAATGTGTCCCCGACTGCTTCCTGCACGC